TCTTGTTTTTTTTTATATATATATATATATATATATATATATATATATATATATATATATATATATAAACCCAAAATACATTTACTTATAGATATATTTATGATATAGATATCACGTCTTAAAGTGTTTTATGAAAATATGAAAATGTTATGCTTAAAATAAGAACAAATCTTGTTTTTTGAAACCACTGAAAGATGCTTTTTTGTTTGTTTGTTTTAAGCATAAACTCAATTTCGAATTGTGAGATATAAACTCTGAATTGAGATATACTGTATTGCACAATTGTGAGATATAAATGCAGAATTGCGAGATATACTGCCAGATATAAAGCAAAATTGTGAGATATAAATGCAGAATTGCGAGATATACTGCCAGATATAAAGCAAAATTGTGAGATATAAACTCATAATGGCGAGATATAAGCGCAGAATTGCGAGACATAAAGCAAAATTATGAGATATAAATGGAGAATTGTGAGACATAAACAGAATTGCAAGATATTGACGCAGAATTGCGAGAAATAAACTCAGAATTGTGAAATATAAACGGGTAATTCTGAGGGGATTAATGAGATATAATCTTGCAATTGTGATATATAATGTGATATATAATATATATATATATAAGATATACATAATCATCTCTCTCTCTCTCTCTCTCTCTCTATATATATATATATATAAAATGCATGATTATTTTGATTTATTTACTTATTTAATAATTTTTCTGAAGTTTATGTTTATGCTTAAAATAAGAAAAAATATCCGCCAATGGAGTCAGAAAAATTCATTCCATTTGTATTAAGTTTATTTGTGTTTATTTTTTTTACCATAATCTCACTACATTTTTTCGGAAAAGAAGACTTAAAATGTCGTATGTCATCTGGCTCCTCAAGTAAATGTATCTTACATTAAAAATGTTGAGATATCTGTACTGGAAAACAAGACAAAAATACTAATTAAAAAAAAAAAAATTTTGTGCAGTGTAATAATAACGTAAATCAAAAAAAGAGGTATTTGCATTTTACTCTTCTAATTTGACATATTTCTGGTTGCTAAAGGATTTTAAATGGACAAAATGTAGCGCAGGATTCAGTTTTATCCAACAGTAAAAGATGAGAGGTTGAAAAGGGAAAAGACAAGGATTGATGACGTCAGCTAAACAAAAAAATTATGTTTTGATGAATGACTACAATCATTTTATTCTTTAGAATAGCATGCACTAACATGTATTAACAAAGTATATAGAATCAAGTGATTTCATGACCACTTTAATTGGCCAAATATCAGCGTTTATCATCACTGAATGGCTTGCTTTGCCAGCAAACGTTGTCCATCATTTCCAGCAGACCGGACCACTGTAAAACTTTGCTTACTTTCTGCCCTACATTCTCATTACAGCTGTGAACGTGTTCCTTCAGCACCGCGCTTGAGGAGGATGTGGATGGTTGCCAGGCAACAGCGTATCCGTGCCATCCTCTCCATCCCCTCGATGTGAATGATAGCGAGATGTGGCGTAGCTGCTGTTAGGTTACACGTGCGCATGATCACAGTCTCTTACTACGAGCGCGAGGTGCGGTTGCCAGGCACTTAGTCATCGTGAGAGCTTCCTGTTTGTCTCTGCTGTGACCGAACAGCTCAAAAATGACTTCAGACGTAAACATGCATCAAAGAGCAACACTGACCTGTTCATAAAACTCATTGACGATGCCTTCCGTCCACTGCAAATGAAGCTCCTTGCTTTTCAACGGACCGTTTATATCCGCTAACTTAATACACATCTGACAGACCAACAGACGATCATTCTCATTCGTCCAATCAATGCCCGAGCATCCATCATCTCCCACCTACAAACACAAATACATACATAAATACATACATAAATAAAATGCATTGCATTTGTTGATCTATACATGTATATCTGATATCAGAGGTGCTCACCTTAGCGTTGAATTCAGCCAGAAAGTCGAAGTGTTTCTTGAGGTCGGTGGCCAGGATGGCCTCGATGACCAGGAAGCGAAAGCGTTTGAAGTCCATGTTGTCCAGACTGGCCAGAAAGTTGTACTCGGGCCGCGACATGAACAGATTCCAGGCGGACGCAGCGTGATGATTCTCCAGCACCGAACGGTCATTATAAAGAACGGCCTTCACAGACACAAAAGAGTTGTATGGCGCTGCACATGTTTCAAAGCCCCAGAACACTGTGTTCAATCACTGAACCTCGAAAACAACAGTATAGTATAGTATAGTAATATCATAAATATCACACTGCTTCCAGTATATACATACATACATTTCAAATAACTGTTTTATATTTGAATATATAATAAAATGCTATTTATTTCTGTGATTATCTGACTATCATTATTACTCCAGTCTTTAGTGTCACAATATGATCCTTCAGAAATCATTCTAATATGCTGATTTGCTGTTAAAGAAACATTTCTGATTATTATCAATTTTAAAAACACTTTACTATATTTATACAGAAACAATGATATAATACTATTGAAATGTTTGTGGTGTGTTTAAAAATATATATAAATTAATGCTTTTATTCAGCAAGGATGCATTAAATTAATCAAAAGTGACAGTAAAAACATTTATAATGTTACAAAGGATTCTATTTCAAATAAATGCTGTTCTTATGAATGTTCCATTCATCAAAGAATTCTGAAAAATAAAAAACACAAAATATTAAGCAGCAATAATAACTGATGACCAATAATCAAAATGTATGCAGCAAATCAGCATATTAGCATGATTTCTGAAGGATCATGTGGCACTGAAGACTGGAGTAATGATGCTGAAAATTCAGCTTTGATCACAGCAATAAATTACATTTTAATATACATTCAAATAGAAAACAGTTATTTCAAATTGTAATAATATTTCACACTTTTACTGGTTTTAAATGTATTTTTGATCAAATAAATGCAGCATGTGTATATACATATATGTATAAATGTAATGAATTATTATGTATACATACTGTATACACATAGTAGTTCATTACACCTGTCAAATTTGTAAAAGCTTCTATACTTCACAGTATTTTTAAATATAAGGCAAACACCAGTCTTCTTCGGTTCTTGAGTTGATTAAATCACATACATTATTATTAATAATTATAGAAGGTACTTTAGTCATTTATTCTACCTCTGAATTAGTATAAGTACCTCTATGATTCCTAAGAAAGCGTGAGGTGTGCTTAATATTACAATACGAGGAAATCTGTGCTCCTTGTAAACACTTCAAGGGAAAACCATGGCCTGGACTGAAAGCAGAACGGCTGTGATGTGTCACCTGAGGAGCGCTGGTGGCCACCAGGAAGGCGTTGGTCCTGCCGGGATGGTCGTAGTCATGCATGGCGGCTGCTACGTAGAGCGCCATCAGCTCCAGAGCGGGGATGAGGCCCGACAGACAGCCGTGACCCTCCTCCTCTGCAGGATACGTCCTGGACATCAGGTACCTTGTGTGGCCGAGAGCGAGTCCACCGTCAGAGTCTAAACACAGACAGAGCCATTAACAATCTTTATATGCCTTCAAACACTGATGCAGCATTATATTTTGTTTATCTTTTTTTTGTTTTGTTTATTTTGTTTGTTTTACACTCTATTGATTTCAAATTGTAAATAAAGGAGTATGTTTTACAATAAAATGCTATTTCAGTTCACATTTAATTTAATGTAATTGTTTGTCAAATTTATCTGAGTGAAAATTGTTTCTATGCCAACGTTTTTAATGTAAAACACTCATAATTTAGTTTTCATAATCATCTCTCTTACAATTAAATACTGAAATAAATTTGCCATATGATCTACTTTACTGAATAAAGTAGCATATTGAATTAAATGTTAAATTTTGAAGTAGAAAGACTGAAATGGTATTTCTTTTTAATCGTATTCCAATAATCTTTATTTACTTCAAAAAACTTTAAAAAATCAATACTTTAGTTTTCATAATCATCTCTCTTACAATTAAATACTGAAATAAATTTGCCATATGATCTACTTTACTGAATAATGACAAAGAAATGGCAAGTAGCATATTGAATTAAATGTTAAATTTTGAAGTAGAAAGACTGAAATGGTATTTCTTTTTAATCGTATTCCAATAATCTTTATTTACTTCAAAAAACTTAAAAAAATCAATAAATCAATAAATAAAATAAAAATTTGCAGTGTACATATAAATGAGCACTGATATATGCATATGAAAAGAAAACTGCAGATTAGTTCACACTTTATAATAGGTATTCATCATAAATAGTTATATTATTGTTATTCATTTAAAATTGTTTTAGTAATTCGACAAAAACTACAAACAAATTACAAAAACAAATATATAAAAAGCTTTTTATTTAATCTAGTTGGTAAGGCAGCACTTCTCAACTTATAGTAAAATATCTAAAACTGGAATATATATATAAACAACATAACATATATATATACATAACATACTGAATATATATATAAACAAAAGCCACAAAACAAAATAACTAAAACTAACTCAAATTTAAATGAAAATAAATTTTAAAGCTTTTATTTCAGCTAGTTGGCAATGCAACATTAATTTAGTATAACTTGATGAAATAAAAATGACTAAATATATAGTTCTATAGATTTATACTTAAAAAAAACTACAAAAAAAAGACAAAAACACAATTTGACTGAAACTTTACGTAAAATTGGAACGACAACATAAATATACAAACTTAGTTAAATAGGAATAAAAACTATAATAGCATCTCAATGATACTGAAATAACACTGATGCCTCACAGGACCATAGTGTTACATATATAAACAGAGAACATATAAACATATAAAATACACTTAGCTAGTCTATATAAAAAGCAGTAATCAAACTAAATCTATACTTTCGAATTACAGGCATGAAGTGATTTCTATTGTAACGTATCCAGACAGTGACGAAGTGTGATTCTTACCGGAGTCACTCAGTGATGTCAGTGTAGGTAAACCAGGCACAGGCTGGGTCGTGAGGTACCAAACCGCATGGAGGACGTCTGTGGCATGAATCCTGTTGTGATCTGCGGAGGAAGACGAGGTTTAATACGATAAACTACCACTAGAGGGAAATACAACACACCACAAAGAAGCAGAAGTGATGATTTAGGGCAATTTATTCCTCTGGAGGTGAAGCTGCCTGCGCACAGCATCTGTTGTACATCATCAGTTATTTCACTGTTAACATATTTCTGTACTGCAGCACGAGGACTCACATGGGATGTCCCTGTATCCGTTCTCCAGAGCGTGGAAATAGTTCATGAACTCCCTCACCGGAATCCTGAACGTCTCGAAGAGTCCCGTATCCGCAAACAACCGGTAAGACACCTAACCCACAGAGAAAAGAGTTAAACCTCTCAACCATGTCTGAAATGAAACAAAACCGTAATGCTACGGTTTCTCAAATGGACACATGGTTTTTATATACATGCAAATACTTATTCTTATGTTCAAATATTCATTGTGTTTGTCATGTTTGCATATTTAACGATTTTTGTTATGTTACACAAAATTTTTAACTATTGAGAACGCACACTATCCAATGAAACTCATTTTTATTATTTAATAAAATGTAATATAATAAAATAAATAAAAAATATACTACAAAATAGAAAACATGCACTAATGAACAACTATTTTACACTTGTGTATTCAATAATATTTAATATAATAAAAATATATATAAAATATAAATACAAAACAAAAAAAGGTGCTCTATGCACTTGCACTTTATTTATTGTTTAATAAAATGTATTGTTTAATCATTATCATTCAGTCTTCCTGGCCTTAACATTTAGACATAAAAACAATGCACAAAAAGCACCAAAAAAAAAAGAGATAATTTTACTAATTTTAAGTTTGAATAAATTTAATAAACATGTACTATCCAATGACACTAATTTGTTCTATGTAATAAAACATATTCAAACATACAAACATATAATGCATAAAAAGTAAAAAATAAAATAAAATAAAAATAAAACATTAGAAAATGAATTATTGGACAATTATTTTAAGTTTGTTTATTCAATAATATTTACTAAAAAGTTTATATAATAAAAATATATTAAACATATAATTGTAAAAATAGAAAATGTGCTCAATGCACTGACACTGTGTTATTGTTTAATCAAATGTGTTATTTAATCATTGTCATTTAATCATCTTGGTCTCAAGTAAAAAAATTAAAAAAATGGAAAAAAATAAAAAAACATGCACTTTCCACTGACACTCATTTTTATTATTTAATACAATGTATTATTTAATCATAATGGTCAAATGTAATCATCCTGGCCTCGTACATGTGTTGTTGAGAGAAGTTTGATTTGTTGATCAGTGTGTGTGTACTCTTGATCTCCACTAGATGTCAGTGTGTCACCTGGCTGAGGATGCAGCCGCATCTGCCATTGGTTTTCTCCACCAGACTGAAGATGGGGAAGTTCCAGTTGTTGATCTGACTCATGAGGGACTCCAGGCCCTCCATCACCAGTGGCTCCGGGGCCAAGATGGGCTTATCCTGCAGAGGAAATGATTTCAGATCACAGACGGTGCCATCTTACACCAAAAAACCCACTAGACATAACTGGAATTACTACAAAATCAAGTGCCGCATATGAAACTACTACAGAGAGCAGTTAAAACAGCATATAACACAAAAAGAGTCTGGCATCAAACCACAGCGAAAACAAATCAAATGCTCAGTGATTAGTTTTGATGACTATTTGATGCCAGTTTAGTTTTACTGGAACAAACAACCCTGAGAATTGCACGTAACAAAGCTACTGCCGTATTTTTGTGCATTATATTTTCTGCTGATTGCATGCATATACTGCATATTTTATGCAACACTTTATACTGTGTATTTTTACTGCTTGTAGGTCCTCTAACACTCACCAGAAAAATGAGATGAAAATACAAAATATAACAATAAAAAATATGCACTGTACACTGACAATCATTTTTATTATTTAACTAAATGTATTATTTAATCATAATGGTCAAATTTCAGCCATTTATTTATCCAGGTCTCAACATTTAGACATACAAATGCATAAAAAGTAAAAAAAAAAACATAATAATGCAAAACATAATGATATCTAATAATATCTAATAGTGTGGCTGATATAATAACAATCAAAGATCTGTTTTATATTTGAATAAATAGTAAAATGTAATTTATTTCTGTGATCAAATTAATTTTCAGGATCATTATTATACATTTATACAACTTATATTTAACAAATAAAAAGTACACAAAGTTGCTAAATTTAAATAATAATCTTACACGTTTATTCAATAAAATTGACAAAAAATCATTATAATTTCATCAAAAAAAAAACAAAACAAAACATAAAAATACAAAAAATTTTGACAGCAATTTCTAGCAGGGAGGCCAATATACTAAAGCGTATACAAAAAAAAATTTAATTTAAAAATTAAAAAAATTAAAAGAAAGTTGCAAAATTTTATTAATATAATAAAAAATAATTATTTGATATTATTTTACAGTGTTTAGTTTTGATGATAATTTGATGACAGTTTATTAAACTGGATGAAATATACCCTGAGAATTGCACATAAACTCTTATTTATTTACTATGCTATTGCAGTATTTTTGTGCATTATATGTTTTATGCATATTATATGCAAATCTTCATACTGTGTATTTTTACTGCTTGTAGCCATGCAACACTGAACAGAAAAAAAATCTACCTGCCTGAACTAAATTGCAGTTATAAAAAAATCAATTTGTGGTGTTTACTGTACCTCCGGTGGGATGAGAGCGGTCAGCGGGAACGTCCCGCAGGCTTTCCTGTGACCTTCTCTGTCTTCGTTCTGTGCAAAGTTGCTGCTGTCACTGTGGTTGGTCTCATAGGTGCTGTCATAGACTGACGACATTATCAGCAGCTCGTCTGCAAGGTTATTAAAAAACCTGATCACGCCTCTCGTCATATTTCACGTTCGAGCAAACCGACAGCTCTGAAAGACTCGTAAAGACACCAATTACATATGAATTCAGATTCAATCCAGGATCCAGCTGTAATATCGCAGATCACAACAGCAAAATGGATCGTAAGTGAAATGCATCTAAATGCTAATTCAGCGGCGGTACCTGACTGTTGGGTTCGGTCTCCTGCGTCTATGGATCCGTCCCCGTGTCTCAGTTTACTGTTCGGTCTTCCACAGCTACAGCACACACAATAATCATACAGAAACACAGGAAAATAAACATTCCAAAAGCTCATCAAATTTCATCATTTTCACAACAGAATCAAGTCCTTCTTTCTTTCTTGTTTTATTAAAGGTTGTTTTTTGCATTTATTTACTTTTGTGTTGCAGTTTAACAACAACAACATGAAAAACTGGTTTTATTGTGGATGATTTATCAGTTAATGTTATTCCAAATAAATTCACAATGAATAAAACAGTAAATTAAAATATATAAAATATATCAATTTGCATATATTTAATTATATTGCATAATGCATTATTTATTTATTTATTTTATATGTTTTTTTGATGTTATTTTGCTTTTGTGTTGCATTTTAACAACAACAACAATAACAATTTACTTTTTCAGTACATGTTCCTGGTCTTACAGTGCAGGATTTGTCATGATTTATTCCAAATCAATTCAAATAAATAAACAAACAAACAAATAAATAAAATGTAATAATTTTCACATTCTTATTTATGTAATGTTTTAAAGGTTTTCTTGGCCTTTATTCTTTTTTTGGGTTGCATTTTAACAACAACAACAACAATTAATAACATAACATAACATAACATAATATAACAATATTTAATGTTTTATTAAAGTTTTGTTTTTAAATTGAATTGAATCGATTCCCAATGATTACGCACATACTTCTTTTTTCCCCCTCACAGAATATCCTGCTTCACTCAGAAATAAGCCACATAATGACAGAAAAATGTGTTGCGAATGCCATTTCATGTTGACTTTAGGAACACTCCTTTAAGAACAAGAAAAAGCCACTATCCATCATCACAGGCACTGGAATCTGTTCATTACTCTTCATGTTTTTATGCTTTATGAGTTAGGAAAGCCAGGAAACGGCTGATGCGTGCATACTGTATGCATTTCATGATTGCATATTTTAATATTTTGCATTGAAATTGAGAGGCGTCCTCTCTGGGTGACTAACCCCTGATTTGTGCTGTGTGTGTGTGTCACTGTTGTTTAGTTGAGCTCTCTGAAATAGCGGGCCAGACAGAACCTAATCAAGCTGTTCCTCTGTGCCCAGCATTTATTACGGGCCAAGGGGAAGGTGACCTTGTCCCATCGCCAGCACATTAATGATCACTGTGAGTAAAACCGATAGAGAGAGAGAGAGAGAGAGAGAGAGAGAGGGATGGCAGATCTGAACGTGTACGTCCATCTGTTAATATTTAGACACAATGTTGGGTATTTTTCACAGTTAATGATCAGTGGTTATTCAGTAACCACATAATGGCCTGAAGCCGCAGTCCGCTCTTGTACTACATCCAGGGCCACAGGATACGCTCAGATCTTTGGTAACAGCGACCAGAGCGATAAATTAGGCACAAAATTAATATTAACTCGCTGTCCGCTCTTAAAATTACTCATTAGTAGTCCTGCATGGAATCCAAACAAGCTAAATTCCTATTAGTCCTCAAAAAGACTTGTTAAGTGAAAAAAATCAACACATTTCCTGGTACATTAAGGATGACTTATGCAACAGCGGTCGATTATATTGTTTAGGTAACTCTTTAATCAAAGGCTGGGCTTTACAACTGGTGTGGTGTGTTCTCTGCTGTAAAAATAAGTTGCACATATTTTAAAGTGAGTGATGTGACATATAGTATGGTGACCCATCCAAAGTGCACACACACAGCAGTGAACACACACACACCGTGAACACACACCCGGAGCAGTGGGCAGCCATTTATGCTGCGGCGCCCGGGGAGCAGTTGGGGGTTCGGTGCCTTGCTCAAGGGCACCTCAGTCGTGGTATTGAAGGTGGAAGAGAGCGCTGTACATTCACTCCCCCCCACCTACAATCCCTGCCGGACCGGAGACTCGAACTCGCAACCTTTGGGTTACGAGTCCGACTCTCTAACCATTAGGCCAAGACTTCCCCATCAGAGAACCATTTATATTTAACTAGACGAGATTTAAATATAAATTTATATTTATATTTAACTAGATGAGTATAATAGCAGTTCTGAATTAAATTAAAGCAAGAGTTATTAAAAACAGATATGATATCAAGTATAAAAATTGCTGTAAGAGATTTAAACAAAAATAGATATGAAAATTAATATCTAAAATATGTGAATTACATAAAGAAAATAAGAAATTATGGAAATAAGAAATTAGAGATGCGAGTTTTGTGGGTGTTACACCTGCATGTTTGTTTATTAAATATTTTGGATAGTATAAAAATAAAAGTTTATTTTAAATATACTGATTCAGGAGTTTTTTTGATAGATATATCTAATAGATATGACTATTTCAATTATGAGAATTAAATTATTTATATGCAAATATAAAATTATAGTTTTGTGGGTGCTATACCTTCATGTTCGTTTATTAAATATTTTGGGTAATGTAATAAAAATATGATTTTTCTAAAAACGGAAGCAAGATTTTTTTTAAAGTAACAGATATGAAAATTAATATTTCAAGTATGAGAATTTAATTATTTATATGCAAATGTTAAATTATAGTTTTGTGGGTGCTACACCTGTATGTTTGTTTATTAAATATTTTGAGTAATGTAATAAACAAAACATTTTTGAATAACCACAATATATATTTTTAAATAAACAGAGATATGAAAATTAATATTTCAAGTATGAAAATTTAATAATTTACATGCAAATATGAAATTATAGTTTTGTGGGTGCTACACCTGCAGGTCTATTAAATATCTTGGATTAAATAACAAAAGTTCATTTAAAATAAATTGCCAAGAGAGTTTTTAACAAAAATAGATATGGAAATGAATATTTCTAATATGAGAATTAACTTCTTAATAAACAAATATGAAATTACAGTTTTAAGTTCTGTGGACGCTACACCTGCATGTTTATTAAATATTTTGAATATTATAATAAAATTCATTTAAAATATATTGCCATAATGGTTTTTAACACAAACAGATATGAAAATGAATATTTAAAGTATGAAAATTAAATGAATGTGCAAATATGAAATTATAGATTATAGAGTTCTGTGGATGCTACGCCTGCATGTCTGCTTATTAAATATTTTGGACGATATAATAAAAAATAACATAATATATTACAGGAAGAATGGATATGAAATAACTATTTAAATCATAAGAAGCAGATGATTAATATGCAAGCATAAAATACAGAGTAAAAGTTCTGTGGGCGCAGCCCCTGCATGTTAATTTTTTTAATATTAGTGCTGGGCAACGATTAATCACGATTAATCGCATCCCAAATAAACATTTTTGTGTACGTAATATTCTTATGTACTGTGTACTGTGTATATTTATTATGTATATATAAATACACACACATGCATGTACATATTTAAGAAAAATATGTTATGTTTATATATTAAATATATTTATATATATAAATTATATGAATATAAATATATACATGTAAATATTTTCTTAATATATAATGTATGCGTGTTTCTTTATATATACATAATAAATAAATATACACAGCACACACACATATAATATGTACACAAAAACTTTTATTTTGGATGCGATTAATCGCGATTAATTGTTGCTCAGCACTATTAAATATATTTGGATAATTTAACAGTGCTTTTGGATGCCAATACAACTGCAGTACTCTCAAGCTCTGCTTTAAACTGAATGAATTTCCCTCAAAAATCAGTGCACAAACGTGTACTGAGCAGAATGGGGGGGTTTTACCTGCTACAAAGTGGAAGCGGCACCCATTGTGAGGTGCTGGAGCTGGGGGCGCTCTGACTGTGGGTTAAGGCTTTGTGGGGGCTCTGTGGTGGCGGAAGCTCAGCGTCAGGCAGCTCCACTGAAGGGCTTTTGTTGGTGGGACTGGTGAGCGGAGTGCCCTGTACTGGAGGGGAGTGGCAGGGCGAAGCCAGAGGTGAGATGTTGGAAGAAGGGTAACCTGTCAGAGAGCAGAGGAATCACACTGGCACTGTCAGAGCCCATTTATCTCCTTTCCCTCCACACACACACACACACACACAGCGCTGTACCTCTTCGGCTCTTGCTATAGATGTGGTTGGTGGTGGAGGAGGCAGCGTATGAAGCGGACATGGACCTGCTCTTGGAAAGGCTGAGCATAACAGAGTTGTTCCATGAATCACTGTTCACCAAACTGCAAAAGAGGAGAAAACGCATGATTTAGATTTTAATGTTGATTTTATTTTTGCCAAAGAGATGTTGGTTTTGTTGTTTAGACTTCAGTATTTTAGCATATTTATATAGTTATATGTGTTGCCGTGCTGAGGTAATATATAGTGTATATATAGCTAATATTTTGAATTAGAATTAGATATATAGTTAATATTTTGCATTAGATTTAATTTTATTTTTAGTCATTTTGCTGGGTTTGTCCCTATTTTACCTAGCACTGGGATGTATTTAACCCAGCATTCTTTAGAGTGTATACTATAGTTTATCAAGTTTTGTTTTAATGTTTAGTTTTAGTTTATTTATAGTTATTTTAGCACTTAAAGATGAAAATACATGATTATTATTTTATGTTTCAAGCTGTTAAAATGTTTCATTTCTTAATGTCTACATGGATTTTATTTTGTTTAGTGTTTAGCTTTAGAAAAAATAGAATATCGTGAAAAAGGTAATTTTTTTGTAACTTATTTCAAAAAGTGAAACTTTCATATATTCTAGATTCATTACATGTAAAGTAAAACATTTCAAAAGTTTTTCTGTTTTAATTTTGATGATTAGAGCTTACAGCTCATGAAAGTAAAAAATCCAGTGTCTCAAAATATAGAATATTTCATAAGATCAATCAAAAAAAGGATTTGCAAAACAGAAAAGCTCAAGTTCTTTAAAGTATGTTCATTTATGCACTCAATACGTGGTCGGGGCTCCTTTAGCACAAACTCCAGCATCAGTGAGGTGTGGCATGAAGCGATCAGCCTGTGGCACTGCTGAGGCACTATTTAAACCTTCAGCTTCTCTGTATTGTTGGATCGACTGTTTCTCATCTTTCTCTTGAAAATATCCCATAGATTCCACATTGGCTTCAGGTTAGGCATGTTGGCTGGCCAATCAAGTACAGTTATATAATGGTCAGCAAAGCACTGTGGTTTTGGCACTGTGGGCAGGTACTAAGTCCTGCTTGAAAAGGAAATCAGCATCTCCATAAAGCTTGTCAGCAGATGAAAGCATAAAGTGCTCCAAAATCTCCTGGTAGACAGCTGCATTACTCCTTTCAAGTAATGAGCTTCTGTGAATTAACCTCTTTGTGGAGGGTGTCAATGATTGTCTTCTGGACCATTACCAAGTCAGCAGTCTTCCCCATTATTGTGGTTTCAACAAGAGATACCCAGAATTTATACTGTAGAGATGGTCATTTAATTGAACTCAAACATAAATATTCTAATATTTTGAGATACTGGATTTTTGACTTTCATGAGCTGTAAGCTCTAATCATCAAAATTAAAACAAAAAAAACTTTGAAATGTTTTACTTTACATGTAATGAATCTAGAATATATGAAAGTTTCACTTTTTGAAATAAGTTACAAAAAAATTACCTTTTTCACGATATTCTATTTTTTCTAAAGCTAAACACTAAACAAAATAAAATCCATGTAGACATTAAGAAATGAAACATTTTAACAGCTTGAAACATAAAATAATAATCATGTATTTTCATCTTTAAGTGCTAAAATAACTATAAATAAACTAAAACTAAACATTAAAACAAAACTTGATAAACTATAGTATACACTCTAAAGAATGCTGGGTTAAATACATCCCAGTGCTAGGTAAAATAGGGACAAACCCAGCAAAATGACTAAAAATAAAATTAAATCTAATGCAAAATATTAACTATATATCTAATTCTAATTCAAAATATTAGCTATATATACACTATATATTACCTCAGCACGGCAACACATATAACTATATAAATATGCTAAAATACTGAAGTCTAAACAACAAAACCAACATCTCTTTGGCAAAAATAAAATCAACATTAAAATCTAAATCATGCGTTTTCTCCTCTTTTGCAGTTTGGTGAACAGTGATTCATGGAACAACTCTGTTATGCTCAGCCTTTCCAAGAGCAGGTCCATGTCCGCTTCATACGCTGCCTCCTCCACCACCAACCACATCTATAGCAAGAGCCGAAGAGGTACAGCGCTGTGTGTGTGTGTGTGTGTGTGGAGGGAAAGGAGATAAATGGGCTCTGACAGTGCCAGTGTGATTCCTCTGCTCTCTGACAGGTTACCCTTCTTCCAACATCTCACCTCTGGCTTCGCCCTGCCACTCCCCTCCAGTACAGGGCACTCCGCTCACCAGTCCCACCAACAAAAGCCCTTCAGTGGAGCTGCCTGACGCTGAGCTTCCGCCACCACAGAGCCCCCACAAAGCCTTAACCCACAGTCAGAGCGCCCCCAGCTCCAGCACCTCACAATGGGTGCCGCTTCCACTTTGTAGCAGGTAAAACCCCCCCATTCTGCTCAGTACACGTTTGTGCACTGATTTTTGAGGGAAATTCATTCAGTTTAAAGCAGAGCTTGAGAGTACTGCAGTTGTATTGGCATCCAAAAGCACTGTTAAATTATCCAAATATATTTAATAGTGCTGAGCAACAATTAATCGCGATTAATCGCATCCAAAATAAAAGTTTTTGTGTACATATTATATGTGTGTGTGCTGTGTATATTTATTTATTATGTATATATAAAGAAACACGCATACATTATATATTAAGAAAATATTTACATGTATATATTTATATTCATATAATTTATATATATAAATATATTTAATATATAAACATAACATATTTTTCTTAAATATGTACATGCATGTGTGTGTATTTATATATACATAATAAATATACACAGTACACAGTACATAAGAATATTACGTACACAAAAATGTTTATTTGGGATGCGATTAATCGTGATTAATCGTTGCCCAGCACTAATATTAAAAAAATTAACATGCAGGGGCTGCGCCCACAGAATCAAGAGGAAAACACACACACACACACATGTATATATATATATATATATATATATATATATGTGTGCGTGTGTGTGTGTGTGTATGCACACACATTTCATTTAATTTGTTTTATTTCTTTTCATTTTAATGTTATTTTTAGTAATTTTGTTTTGTTTTTATAATTTTTTATTATTTTACTATAATTTTTTTCAATTTCTATATAGGTTTAACCAAGTTTTAGTGTTACGTTTTACATTTAGTACTTCAACTTAACTTGTATTTTTCAGTTTAAGTAATTATTATTTATTTATTTTTATTTTTTTTTGTTCTATTTTCAGTTAGCAATAACAACCCTGTTCCAGTGTTTATTTATCCCACCATCATTGTGTCCTCGATGAAGAATATATGTGTGTGCGTGTGTGTATGCACACACATTTCATTTAATTTGTTTTATTTCTTTTCATTTTAATGTTATTTTTAGTAATTTTGTTTTGTTTTTATCATTTTTTATTATTTTACTATAATTTTTTTCAATTTCTATATAGGTTTAACCAAGTTTTAGTGTTACGTTTTACATTTAGTACTTCAACTTAACTTGTATTTTTCAGTTTAAGTAATTATTATTTATCTATTTATTTATTTTTGTTCTATTTTCAGTTAGCAATAACAACCCTGCTCCAGTGTTTATTTATCCCACCATCATTGTGTCCTCGATGAAGACACTTCACTTTAACTCAAAACGGCATAACCTTTTTCCTCTCAAGAGGCGAACTTGTAAATGAGAAAGTTCACAATGCTCTTTTTCTGGGGTTAAAACAGTCCAAGTGGCTTATTTTTGGAGAGGAATTTAAACTAGAATTTTTCTGCCAACTTTAAAAAAGAAAGGGAGCGGAACAGGCCTCCTGCTGTGGGAACACTCTTCAGATATCCATTAAGACGCTGCGCAGGAGACCCGCCACTTTAAAACCAGCCTCAACATGGTAATGCAGGCAACCCTGTGACCCTCCATTCTTCACCGGGGCTTTTATTTCGACAGGGCCCAAATGTAAACACAAGCCGGGCTCTCGACTCTCCAGGAAGCCTCTTTAAACTCTCTGTCTACACAGTGCAGATGGCTATCTGGATATCAGTATTAATGGGCTGAACTTTAGCTGGTCTGTATAACTCGAGCTGAAATAAGAGATATAAAGGTGGAGAAATGCCCAAAGACGGACATTATAAAATTTGAATCATACATTGGGATGGAGTGAATAAGATGGCGTGGAGGAGCTCTGGAAAGTTCAAGTGCTTGACAGCAATCCGCAACAGCTATGCGAAACACTAACTGAGGAGACAATGATGACATACAAAACTAAATGAGGGCAAACGGATAAAAGTGCTGTCAGGTAAATCCTGAGAAACTCTCCGTGAACTCACATTTTCCGAACGTATGTATTGTTGCTTCAAAACACTTCATACAGCGAGCCGGGAAGTATTTGGACAAACGTGCAAATGTCATTGCATTAGATTACCAAATATCAAATCAATTTAGACTGCACAAGCGTACAAACAAAACATATCATGAAAAAGGATGTTTGTTACGTTTGACATAATAAAACAATACATAAAATGCTTCACAATGAAGCAAATGGACGTTTTTGTGTTTGTAAAGCATTTCTCTGCTAGGACACCTGTCTTCATATACATATATAGAATATGCACTAAAAAAACTAAAACACGCACTGAACAAAAATGAAGGAAGATGGTGAAAAGATTCTGGGCTGGTCACCAAAAGTATGAAGAAACACTTAAAGCTTGATGACATCACTGTATCAATCCTCTGCAGTGAATGGGTGCCGTCAGAATCAGAGTCTAAACAGCTGATAAAAACATCACAATAATCCACACTACTCCAGTTCAACAATTAACATCTTGAGACGCAAAAAGCTGTGTGTTTGTAAGAAACAAATACCACTTCCTCCAGTGAAAAAGTCCATCCCCTGTTGTCTCTCACATCAAAATCCAGCCACATATTTATATAGCGCTGGTTTGGACTTTTTTTGCTTGCAAACAGCTCTTGATCTGTGCAGATTTCTCTCCTGATTCAGATGAGACGACTTTTCCAATGAAGAAAGCAATATTATGGATTATGGACTCATATTTTAGTCAGAAGCAACAGTTTGAAGTTAAAAACACCTTAATGATGGATTTGTTTCTTACAAACACGCAGATTTTGGCTTCACAAGACATTAACTGATGGACCGGAGTGGTGTGGATTACTTGTGGATTATTGTGATGCTTTTATCAGCTGTTTGGACTCTCATTCTGACGGCACCCATTCACTGCAGAGGATCCATTGCTGAGCAAGTGATGGAATACTAAATTTCTCCAAATCTGATGAAGAAACAAAATCATCTACATCTTTGATGGCCTGAGGGTGAGAGCATTTCAGCAAATTTGCATTTTTGGGCGAACTATTCCTTTAAGTCATGTTCATTTGTAAGATAGTTTGATGAACTAAGTGACTAAATGTAAACAGATTGTTCTGGATAAGAACAGGGTGTTTATTACCTGCTGGAAGGGCCATCGTGAGGTGCTTTGATGCTGGCACTGCGGTCCCGTCTGACCGGCCCGTGTTCGAGGGTGGGCAGGCCCGTGGCTGAGGTGGTGGTGGTCCACGTGGAAGAAATGCGTCTCAAAAGCCCCGGAGGCAAACTCCGCCTCAAACGCTGTTATTTAAAGAGAACACACATCAAGTTTAGACTAAAACAATGTTGACAGTGGAGCAAAACACTTACAGTCACAAATTCTCCGCTAAGGTCAGTTTTGAAGCTTGTCAAAAGTCACATCACCAATTATAATCAATTAACACTGACCCAGACAGAATAAAAACACGTGTATGACAAGCAGAGAGCCAAATTAACACTTTTTGGCAGTGCGGCTGTTCAACAAAGCGCTTGTTTAGATTAAATTGGATCGCATTTTGCGTAAATGATGTAAATCTTAGCGAGTGTGCATATTTTGAGAGCGAGTCTGTGCGTTAAGCTAAACAACTGAGGGCGGCAGATGACAGCGGTCCGTCAGGGAATACTGAGCCTTTCCCCCATCTGGGAAAATGGGAACAGAACAGATGGAAGACCCCGGAGAAATGCATCATCGCATTTCTTCTTTACATCACAAACTTTGAACCAATCAAAAAGCTCGGCTGATGTGGCACGTGTGTGCGGTATAAAATAGACTACATAAATGCACTTAAAGGGACAGGACACTCAAAAAAAAAAAAAAACATTCTGGTGTCATTTACTCACCCTTAGACAAAAGAAATGCATAGAGCTTTGAAACCTACATAAAAATTATTAAAACCTATATAGGCATATTTAAAATAAAAACAAAACACACTATAACAACTAAAACTTTAACTAAAATTAAAAGTAAATATAAATTATAAATATTTAAAAATAATATAAATAAATATAATATAATAATATATATATATAAAAGACAAAACACAAAACACTATAACTAAAACATTAAAATTAAAAAATACAAATTGAAATATTAAAAATAAATAAAATATAAATTAATATAACTAAAATATAAAAATAAAAACAATTAAAATATTAATAAAACTATAACAGTATCTCAAGTATACCAAAAAAGCACTAGTTAAGTAAATGACAACAATTTTAATTTCATTTTTTCCTTTCAATGCAATGTAAAATAAAGATGCACTAAAATAACTCAAACTTACATAAAACTAATAAAACTAATAAAAACTATTAAAAACATATTCCACTTAAAAAGAAAAAAACAGATTCCACTTAAAAAGAAAAAACACATATAGACACAAAAATGTATATAAAATATTACAAATTGTCAAAAAATTTAATATAAAAAATTTAAACTGTAAAAATAATATAAGTAATAGTAATAATAATAATAATAATAATAATAATAGCATCCCAATTATGCTAAAACAACAGTAAATTATCAATATTTAAAATTTTGTGTGGATTATCCCTTTGAATTCAAAGTAATGCAATGCAGATGACAGTAGAACAGAAACCAAAGCAACTGTCAGTCAGTTTTCTCTTGCAGGTCAACTAGCGTCATGGAGAAACAATAGTTTGGAAAGAATTTTGCTGAGAACGTCTCAGCATGTTTGTCATCTGAATAACACATCTGGTTTAATGGCACATTTAATATATTTCAAAGAAACTTCAGAATGGTAAAGCATTTGCGCATCAAAGTTAAGTATATTTTTGACTAAATAAAATTGCACAATGGTGCACAAAAAGTTTGAGAACTGCATTACCCTGAGAGTTAGGGCAGAGAAGAAACTCCTGACAGCAGCATGAATATTTTAGATGCAGAGCAGGGCTCCAGCCCACGTAGAGAAGCAGAGGGCACATCCGCGCGCCCCCGACCCTAATCTCCCAACTGCCCTGAGTGCACGCCCTGGGCATTCTGAGAGACCAGTGCCGTCCCATTACAGACAGATGCGGTGAGCGCCGGGGTCAGAAGTCACAAATCACATGTGTATTTTTAACTCCGGGAAATTCTCATGCAACAATCTACAGCCACAAACATGTAAACATCTGCATCTGATATTAATTCAGCCAGAGCGGCTGTCAGCTGGAGTTGGGAGGAAGATGTTTGAGTGGATGTAGCAGGCCTCATGTCTGGGAAGGTGCTCGGGACGTGCCGTGGCGCAGACAGACTGTCAGGGTTGCAGACGTTCAGCGCTCAGGCGTCTGTGAGCCGAGTCTCGTCTGATCAGGGTTCTGCGGTGTCCGATTGAACCAGCTTCTCCAGCCGGTGTGACAGCTGGGAGCTTTGTTCCCTATCATAGTCTGAACTAACCTATATGAGGGAATCTAACAATTAAAAAAACAAATTAAGCTATTTTAGGATTATTAAGGTGCATTATGCTATCATTTTCTAAGCCCCAAATTCTTTACTACAGTAAAAATTATCACAATTTAAAAACTGTATTGTCTTTATTAGAATGCAAAACAAACAAACAAACAAAATTATATATTATTTCATAAATAAAGCAATTAAACATCTTGGTAGTATTGTTTTGTGATGCCTTTATACTGGTTTAAAAGATTATTAATTTATTATTATTATTAAAATTAATAATAAAAATCCATTAAAAATAAATAAATAAATGCTCCTAAAAAAAGGCCTTGTTTTCTTTATGCAAAACATAATTACTTAATTTTTACCTTTAAATTTGGGATGTAACACGACCCAGAGGTGGGGGACTCGAGTCACATGACTTGACTTGACTTGAGTCTGACTCGAGTCGCAAATTTAGGGTGCTTTCACACCTGGCTCGTTGTTTCGGAACATGGCGCGTTTCCCCCCTTAGCTCGGTTCGTTTGGGCATATGTGAACACGGCAATCATGCCCGGATCAGCGCCAAAACAATCGGTCCGAGATCGCCTGAACGAGGTGGTCTCGGCTCGATTGAAAACGAACTCTGGAGCGGTTCGGTTGTAGTGAGAAAACAATCTGATCTAACGGACCAACGAAACAGGCTATATCACAATGTATGATGGGTAATTACGTAAGTTCTGTGAAAAGCATTAGCTTTGCTGTTTTGCTAATACTTCAAAATAAACCTGTGAATGTCTGTGGGTGAGCACGTCTTCGCCATTCAAAATTAAAGTGCACTTTTTCATTTTATAATGCCGTCTTATTGCTCTTCTTCCTAGTAGGTGCATTTTAAAAATGTTTTCCCAATGAATCCTGGATTCCTGCTCAAAATGATAAATTAATAAAAAAAACGAAAACTGTTGTCATTCTATCCTGATGGAAGACAGTCGTGAGAGCTAAGTGGAATCCCGGGAAAATAAACCGTGGAACTTTGACCAATGAGAGAACAGTTTACTCGCGTGTGACTTGTATTAACAAATTTGGTCTGTTTAGAAACTTTGCCGTGCGAACTGCACCAAGAATAAAAAGCAACATTGTAATAATTTTAATTCCTGTTTCGGAACAAAGCAATCAATCTACAGGTGTGAAAGTACCCTTACAGACTTGTGACTTACTTGACTAAATAAAGAAAATGACTTGACTTGACTTGGACTTGAGATCCAGTGACTTGAGACTTGACTTTCATGACTTGGGAGGACTTGACTTTATAACAATTCTAATTATTATTATAAATCATTGCGACATAATTTGGTAAACAAAACGCAAGCCACTGAACCAGCGGCAGAAGTGATCCGAGTCTGCGCAGTTCATGACACTGCACGAGCACAGGAACACAGCGCGCCAAAAACAGGGAGCAAGAGAATCTCCCGAGATGTTTGGATAAACACTTCGAAACTGTATGCATTTACAAAGCCAGGACGTCAGCACTTCAAAAAGGAAAGGTATGTAAGCTTGTTCGTTAGTTGAAGAAAGCATTGGTCTTAAAATTCAGCTTAAGTCTGTCATTAAATGGAAGTGGTTATAAATGATTAATCTCGTGTTTGTAATTAACAACGTCAAACTTTAAATTCGCTGGCATTTGCCTCTCAAAAAAGTGCTTTAGTGTCAAGCATCCCTCTTTGTAAATCAATATATGGAATTATACCACGGAAACCACAGTTTTTTTATCGATTAGTGATGTTTCTCTTGCACCCAAAATCCAAGATATGTTGTCAAAATGGCCCTAGTATGAGTTTTTATATTTATAACATACGATATTTGGTAATATTTTAAGCGCGGCTGCCATCAGTTCTGTTCAGCTCACAGCTAAAGAATTACGCTCGTCTCTAAGCAACCCACTGAATACTGAACGAATCCAGGGATTTGAACGAATCACTTGAGTGATTCAGTGGCCCAGTTTTGCTTGTTCATGAATGAATCAACTGTTTTGAATGAATCAGTTCAATGAACGCTTCTGTGATAAAGCAGTGATTTGCCATCACTTACTGGCGCCATTAATGTCATAGAGTAGGCCTATCTTTTCATTTCATATTTCTATATTCCATTTTTTTATTAAGATTTTAAGTTCCAACGAAACAAACAGAAAACAGAAATTACACAAACAAAAAGCTTAGGCTGACCTTAAATGCACAGCTGTCAATTTAGTTCTTATTAAGATAAAATCAAAGAAATCAATAAGTTACAGGGGAAGATACATAAACATTAACAGCAATAGGCTTCTTGTTTTAAGCCATGACAATAGTTTTCAAGAACAATGTAGGCAATCATGCAAAGTGAAAGAAAAGGTCCAAATAGGGTGTCTATACCCGATGAAAACGTTGGGTCCATTTTATTTCTGACTATGATATAAGGGGTGATTTCTAGTCAAAATACTATTTTAAATTGAATAGCATGTTTTGTTACACACTGAAATTCTTTAGCATGCTTCCAGACTGAATCCTAGTCTTCGCTGGAGATATTTTGTGCAAAATCATTTTCAAACATCTGTTAAATATTATCTGTGTCTCCAAGGATAGTCAAACTCAATATAACATAAATATGAGAAACATATTTTTCTCTTAATTTTTATCACTATTTTCTAAATTACAGACTTATCGTATACAAAGTAGTAATTTGCCTATTCTCAAAAAGTTATATTTAAAACATTATTATTTAAAATGTATAACTATGAAAGTTGTAGGAAAAATAAATAAGGTCATGTGGCAAAAATATATTTGTTCCTGTTTGATACTGTGACTTGACTTGATCCTTAGCAGGACTCGACATGACTTGCTTGAGGTGAGCC